TCTCGTAAATTTTTGACAACCTATTAATGATTATGAGTTTGAGCCGACAGTGTCTTTTACGGATAAATTTTTTTTTTTTTTTTGTCCTTTTCAGTTACATATTATATAAAGATAAGGTTGAAGTTCATTTTAATTCGAATCCGTAAGTAAATCGATTACTTTTCACAGAGAAAAATCTTGAATAAATTTTCCATAAAACCAATATCATTTATTAAAAATGGAAATGCGTTTCTAAGAAAATGTCGCGTATGAAGAAAACGAATTTCACTATAACCGTTTGATTTCAATGTGAAAATTGAAATCGAATTTTAAGATACAACAACTTTAAATTACATTTTCTTTATTTTCATGCAAAACGAATTCTTATGAGTTTGGTGGATTTTTATTTTCCAACTAACATGAAGGATCCGTTTGATTGCAATGGTGGAAAATTGGTGGAAAAAAATGAATTCTAGGGAACGTAATTGCCTAGAAATTATTTTTAAGTGAATTGTTAATTAAGTGTGTTTGATTGGTATAATTTTTCACTCGGAAAATTTTTGAAATTTTGGATTTTTTTTTGTTCACTTTTGACTTTATTTTACATAAAAATTGTCCATTAAAGTATTTTCTTTTTACAATTAGTTATGAAATTTGTTACCATTGCCAAAAAGTTAAAAAAAAATAATAAATAAATTTGCTCGAAAACTATTTTTTCATTAAAGTTTAGGGTTTGTTTATGAGGGATTTTAATCCAATTAAAATTGAAAATATAGTCGTTATTGGGTCCCACTAGTCTAATAAAAGTCAACAATAATGGCTAATTTTTCAATTTTAATCCCTCCCAAACAAGCTCTTAGTATTTGTTTGATTTCGTTTTACACNTGTGGTTGAAAATGAAGGAAAAGTTATTGATGTAATGGAAAATATTATTTTATTAATGAATGTGTGGTTGAAAATTAATAAAAGAATGAGAATGAAAAAAAGAATGGATACCAAACAGAGGCTAAGGTACAGCCACTTTAAACTGCATTTTCTTTATTTTCATGGAAAACGAATTCTTATGGGTTTGGTGGATTTTTATTTTCCAACTAACATGAATTGAAATTATTTTCCATATTTACTTATCAAACAGACATTTATGTTGTATTTGATTGTATTTATTTTTCATGAAAAATGTATATTTTTCACTCAAATTATTACTTTAAAGTGTTTGATTGCTACTTTTTTCTATGGAAATTATTTTCCAACTTTTAAAAATATGCCTAATTTTCCTTGTTTTTAAAGAAAATATTTTTTGGAAGTATGTTTTTATTTTTCTCAAAATAAGGAAAATATTTTCTTTTTTATGATATATTTTTCATGTCATTTAAACATACTATTAAAGGAAATAGTTAATTACTATTATGTCAACTTTTGATCATTCATGTTTGGGCTCCATTTTTTTAATGTGCTTTTGGGGAAAAAAATGTATTTTAGAATATTGATATTTTTAAGAATACGTAATTAAAAAGAAGGAAAAATTTTAAATTTACGTGTAATATTATTTTACTAGAAAATGTGTAATTAAAAAGAGGAGTAAAAAAATACATTTGAATAAAATAAAAGGCTTGTCTGGAGATTAAATTGTGGATGAAAAGCCATTTTTGGACCGTTGAGTCCTTCAACGGTCAGCATTTCACTGAAATAAGCTGGTAGCTTGTGAGAAAATGTCAACTTTAACGGCTCCAAAATCAATTCTCAAAAACAGAGAATCACTAGCAGGCAAGTTGAAAGTCCAATTAGATCTTAAGATGAGTGCATATGACCCACCTCTACCAAAAGAGACCGTGTTCTTACCTGTTAATAGAAAAAATTGCCGACGCAATGAATGAACCCCACGTTACACCCATCATCTCATCCTATTGGAAACACGTTTAAGCAACGTGTAGTGCATACCCTTTTCCCGGTCCCATTCAAGTACGCGTGTATTCCGATTTCTGCCCAACTTTTTATACATTTTTGTAAAAGCAATCAAGAGCTCGTGAGAGCCTCTCTCTCTTTTTTTTTTTTTCTTTTCTTTTTTCTTGACAAAAATACAATTTAAAATATTGATTTGATGAAGAATGTGTAGTTAAAAAATAAATTTTTTTTTGAATATTCATATAATGTTATTTTATTGAAAAATGTATGATAAAAAATAATATAGAAAAAATGTATTTTGAAAATAATGGGATCAAACAATAACTAAACTTTTCAAATCCCCGTTTGGTAGAAATTAAAATTCAAAATCTTAATTTAATTCAAAAATAATAATTAATTCTAATTACATATTTTATGGGATTTACAACTTTTCAACTACATATTTCATCAACTTTTATTAAAATCTATTAAAAATCCGACCCATCAAACAGGGACCAAAAATAACAATAAAGGTAGTAAATATTTTTTTCTTTAAATAATATGATTTTTCTTCTATAACGAACTTAGACCATTTCCAACCTTGTACCAAAATTTGCACCATTTCGGTAAAAAATGGTGCGATTTGGTGAATTAATGTGCAATAAGGATGGGTCCTTCTTAGAGATTGTACGAGAGATTACCTTCTCATGTTTCAAAAATATTAATACATTGCGTATCGCATAAACTCTTGATCACTTTTTGAACTACGTATAATACAAAATCAAGTTAATAGTATATTTAAAATATCCACGTGAGGACAAAAAAAAAAATTCTACTATTACTTATAATTTCATTTGTTCCTTCAGTAATTAGCTGATAATAATACTATCGAACGCCAATTTAAATGATTACCTTTTATAGATTCAATTAAGAACAATGTTATTCAACATCACTGGTGCTATAACACAGTTTAAGTGATGATGTGTAATAGGCACAATGAAGTGTGATTTTAAGGAACTTATTTAATTGTATTTCTCATTTAATGTCACATTGGAGCCACCTAAATTAGTGTTTTAACACCAAAAATGCTAAATATCATTACTTTACAATTAAATGAGTCGCGTGATCTTACATTTAAATGAATATATCATTTTAATGTTATATAATTGCCACGAAAACTAGTGTTTAACACCAGTTGTAATAAATAACCCTACCAATTAATTAATAGTTAAATACTTTATGCATCACAAATCTAAATATGCGTGCTAGTAAAAATTTAAACCTAAAATTTGTTTAGAAAATTGGTAATAAATGATTTAAAATTTAATTATATATTAGTTCGTGTCTATAAATTTATCAATAAATACTAACAAATGTACTTTTTAATTTAAATATTAACAAAATGCAAACTTAACAATAAAACTTCATATTAATCATGAAAAGAACTGTTTTCTGTTCCAAATTTTTAGTTTTTAAGAAAACAATTTCCATTTTAACATCTTTCAAGCAATTTAAGATTTCATCTCAATGGCGGAACAATCAGCACATAACTCGCTTCCAGCGGTAGAGTGTGGGTTCGAATCTTGGTGGGAACCTGCGGCCAGATTTATTTGGTATGGAGCAATCACTTTGGAGGATGTTCCCTTGTACGCAGAAATGCACAGTTGGTGAGGGGAATCTGGGAACCAGTTTAGGCATATTTCGCAATTTACATCCTCCAATGTTCTAGGGGTAAGGGTCTTGGAGGTCCAGGATTTAGTCTAACAAAGATGAGACACCTGGGTATCAAAAAAAAAAAAACAGATTTCATCTCATTAACTTCATACTTTAAATCTGAACATGAGGATTTTGAATAGCTTTCTTCTTTAAATCGGTTTTATATATTATTTATATATGGACTGTGTTAATGTGATAAATTAATCAATTCAATATTTATAAAATACTAGAGCTCTATTTATAACTTATTAATTTACATTCATGTAATTTGAACAAATTAAATTGCTATTATTTATAGAAAAATCATCTTTTTATATGTCAGTTTTATTTTGGATGATATCTAATTTAAAAAAAAATGATACTCAAAAATAATAATAAAAATGAGAGGTTAATGAAGTTTTTAAAACGTGGAAGATTGTATGTAAAAACTGGGAAACTCTTTTATATCTATACTACTTGCAACACTGTATAACAAACCATATAAACCTCTTGTTTAGTTTAGATAAAAATCAGATTTTGATAAAAAATGATGAAAATCATAATATAAAAGTTGTGAATTTTATGAAATATAGAGATAAAATTAATGATTGATTTTACCTTAAATCTAAGAGTTAAATGTTTCAACGACCACTGCACTTTGCACCATGCTCACTGAACATTCAATAGCGTCCCATCGGCCATTGAACTTTAATATGTTATTATCCATTACTCACAGGTTAGATACCGTTTGAATTGATGTTGAAGTGGAAGACGAAATTATGACATGTCCAGTTAACTCCTCCCAGACCTCTGCCTACTCTATGTCATGTCATCGCACATCAGAAAATTCCCCTCTCTCCCTCACTCACCCCTCCACCTTACAATCTCCACTCTACAGCGGTACAACCACCATTTCAACTGCGGCACCATCATTTCGTTCTTCACCATGTTTCTCTACTCAAAAAACACCATATGGAGTCTCATGTTCCAAATCACAATCCCATCTTATGACAATTAAACCCAAAACACTATTGGAAAACGGCTACTTTATACACCAGGTCATTCAAAAATCCCCTTCAATTCAAGGAAAAAATCCAGTGCCTCGAAATCATGGGCTTCTAGTCCGATCGAGTACTCTCCCAAAAACTGTCTCACCACACCGCTTCTTTGCATCCCATCCATGAAATCATCTCCTTCCTCCAATCCAAAGGCATCCACAAAAAAGATTTAGGCGGAATCTTTGGCAAGTGTCCCCAAATTCTAAAATTCGACAATAAAACTAACCTTAACTCAATTTTCAATTTTTTATCTTATGATTTGATTTAAAAGTCTCTAACCAAAATTTCAGAAAGGTGATAAACAAATGTCACAGACTGTTAATTTACAGTGTAATAGACCAGCTTAAACCTGCTTTATTCTATCTTCAAAGATTAGGCTTCAAGGATATGTATTCATTGGCTTATCAAGATCCCATTTTGTTAGTTTCCATTGTGGAGAAGATGTTGATTCCTAAGCTGAATTATTTAGTATCCTTAGGATTTTCGAAAGATGACGTTGTCGAAATCAAGCCTAAATTTGAGTATTTTGACAAAAAAAAAATGATGGGTTCATTGGATGAACATAAGGAATTTCCACATTATTTTGCATTTAGTGTGGAGATGAGGATAAAGCCAAGGCGCATGAAGGTTGTACAATGTGGAATTGTGGTTAGTTTGTCGTTAACGTTGAAGAGCATTGAAGATGAGTTCAGAGAATTGATAAGACAAGGGGGTGGATAAGGGCGTTGAGGAATATCTAGTTCCATCTCCAGTTTGATTGACTAATTTCTGACGTGTCTTGGTGTCAAGGACCACAACTTCAACTAGCCCCTTGACCTGCACATTGTAAATATTTTGTTTCAATTGTAAAATAGATGTGATATTTGAAAAGTTTAGTATGATTTCTCGACATTTAAATGTCAATTCCAATCACTTAGGCTTTTGTGTAGAATGCTATTATAGGGGGTATTAGTTTTTCAAACAATCTTTCAAGTTTTCTAGTGTTTGTCCCCCGCACTGGCCATTGTAATTTCCTACTTTCATCTATTGTAATTTCTAGCTTTCAAACAATCAATAATCAATTTAGTTTCAATACATTTTAATTTCATGTTGCAAGCTTTTTACAAATTGTAATCAAATTGTCTTTTCGTCCACAAATGACTGAGAGAAAGTGGAAGGTAGTCTAGCGGAGCAGACCATTGTCGCACGGCGTCCCTTTCTGTGCTAAGAAGAAAGACACCCCGTGAAACGTGGTCTTACCATTTGAAAGAAGTTAACTGGACACGTCATGATTTCGTCCTCCACATCAGCATCAATTCAAATGGCATCCACCCGATGAGTAATGAACAATGATTGAATAAAGTTTAGTGGCTAATGGAACGTTTTTGAAAGCTCGATAGGTAAGCAGTGACATGGTGCAAAGTTCAATAACCATCGAAACATTTAACTATAAATCTACTGGACAAAATTTAAAAGCTTTTTAATAAGAGGAAATTACACCCACAAAGATTTTTAAGTTATCATTTTCAAAAATCCAAAATCAACTTTAATAATACATAAATCAGGTTTTAATGAACTATTTTTAAATTAATTTTTATTTAAATCAACTGTACACAATTTTCAAACCCTAATTTCATTTTCTCTCTCCCTCTCTCTAACTCTCTCCCCTTGCCGCTCTCCCCTCTCTCTCAATCCCCACCGCCACCACCCACCGGCACACCACCACTGGCACCACCTCGTCAGCACCTAAGCCGACGATCGATAGTTGCGGCACCGCTTCTATCATCTACCCTATGCCCTAATTATTTTCCAATTTTCTCTCTCTCTATATCTCTCTCAATACAGCCAGAGGCCAGAGCCACCCCCATCTCTTTCTCCAAATATCCTCTCTGACGATGGCGATGAGTGCAGCCGTAGAGACGAGGATGATGTCGCGCACAGAGCAACTCGAGCGAGGAGAGGCATCACCTCTGTGTGCTGCAGATCGCGAATATCACTCTTTGTAATGAAGATGGTTGATGTTGGATTTGATGTTTGTGTTGGTGGTAACGAAGACGGTGGCTGTGGCGGTTGTTGAGACCAGTTAATGGGTTGTGGCGGTGCTATGACAAAGGTGCCTTGCACGGTAAATTGTAGTAGTGGTGGAGTGGCTTCGCCCAGATC